CAGTTTTGGGGGGAGGGTGCAGACACAGGCAGATCACTGTTAGAGGCGAGCCAGGAAAATACCCCAACAAGAAAGTTAATATACAACAATATACTATTGGATGTTAATATGTAACATCTTTATTTTTACATATATGTTTATAATCCAAATTATGGTGGGAATATTTTCATTTCTTTTAAGGTTTCCATTTTAAAATTTTTCCTTTATTTTAATTATACATGTTTCTGTGTCTGCTTTGTGTAGGTCAGAAGTGTGCATTGAACACTCTGGCACTGGAGATACTATAGGCAGTTTGTGAACTACAAGAGTAAAGTGCTCTAACTGTGGAGCATCTCGATAGCCCTTATTTTTATTTTTAGTATGTGTACATGTGTGTCTCTATGGGAGAATGTGCACATGTGTGCAGGTGCCATCTGAGGCCAGAAGAGGGCATTGCTTGTCCTGGAGCTAGAGTGTCAGGTGGCTGTAAGCTGTTTGACATGTGCAAGAACAGGATGCGCTCATAACAGCTGCGGCATCTCTTTAGCCCTCATTTATTTTTCCACAAACAGCCTTACTGTGGGACCTAATGAGAGTTTGCTAAGGTTCAGACTTCTGTGCATTGTTTTTGTTGACGTGAATGAAGAAATACACTGGCCAGTGGTGGTGTATACCTTTAATCCCATCTCTTGGAAGTCAAGGCAGGTGGCTCTTTGAGGCCAGCCTGCTCTAAAATCCAATTCCAGGACAGCCAGGGCTATGCAGACAAATTCTGTCTTGAAAAGCCAAAAAGAAAAGGAAAAAAAAGGACTACCTTACTCTTTCAGATATTATGGATAGCGTCTTTGTTATTCTGGAACTCAACATAGAGTTGTTTCTTAGGGTGAAAGGCGTGAATAATTGAACTTGAATTAAAAACCACGATACAAAAACTGACAAGAGTTAATATTCAGATTTATTTGCTTCAGTTGAATAGAAGTAGGAGAAGATTTGGAAGTGAGCAATAGAAGATTGAAAGAAAGGCCTTGAATAATGTACAATAATATAAGTAATTGAAAGCTAAAGCTGATACTGTGCTTTCAGTACATTCTGAAAGTATAGGGTTCAAAGCCATGGTTTTTATTTTTATTTTTTTGTTTTTTCGAGACAGGGTATCTCTGTGGCTTTGGAGGCTGTCCTGGAACTAGCTCTTGTAGACCAGGCTGGTCTCGAACTCACAGAGATCCGCCTGCCTCTGCCTCCCGAGTGCTGGGATTATTTTAGCTTTTCTAAATAGATGTTCTCTAAAATTTCCATGTAATAATGTTCACACCCAGGGCAGGACTAAGACAACTACAGCCTGGCTTGTCCTCAAACTCTTATGTTGAAGTCCTAGCCTATAGTGTGACTATATTTGGTAATAGGGTCTTCATAGAAGTTTAAGTGAGCTTTAATCAATGGTAATTTGAAAAAGGAACAACAGAGAATCATCTCTTTCTACTATGTAAGGATATACTGAGAAGGGATAAGCTGTCTGCAGCTAGGAACAAAACCCTCACCAGAACCAACTCTGCTGGCACTTTGATTTTGAACTCTATCATTCACTAAAACAGAAAAAATGAATTGTTTTGTTTAAGCTACCTGTTTGTGGTATTTATTATGGCAGCTTAAGCAGACTGCTGTTCAGGATATTGGGAATTTAAGGGATTTAGAATTCTTTCATTTTTAAAAATTTATTATTTAAAGTCTTTTTTCTTTCTTTCTTTTTTTTTTTTTTTTCAAGACAGGGTTTCTCAGTGTAGCCCTGGTTGTCCTGGAACTCGCTCTGTAAACAAGGTTGTGCTATGAACTCACAGAGATCCGCCTGCCTCTACCTCCCAACTGCTGGGATTAAAGGTGTGTGCCACCACTGCATGGCTTATTTTTTTAATTATATGTTTGTGTACTGTCTATGTCGTTTTGTGCTCTTGAGTGTAGCCGTAGACATTGGATCCCTCTACAGCCAGAATTGTAGGTGGTTGTCAGCTCTTAGTTTGGTTGCTGGGGATTGAACTCAGGTCCTCTGCAAGAGCAGCACGCACTCCTGACTGTTGTCTCTTTAGCCCCTGGAGTCCTTTTTTTGACTGTTTTTTGGTTTTTACGAGACAGGGTTTCTCTGTATTGTTTTGGAGGCTTTCGGTCCAGCCCGGCCTCGAACTCACAGTTTGACTGTTCTTTTAAATGGTTATGGATGCTTTAACACCTTTCAGGGTCCAAATACTAGATAGAATCTTTTGGTCAGATGCTAGAAGATAAACATTTTCCTCCAGGAATGTTTGCTTTGCCTGTTCTTATGCATGAACCTCTTTGTTACTGTTTTGAAACTTTCCACTTTGCTTCTGGCATCATAGTTACTAAATGAATTTCCAGAACTTTGTACAGTACGTGACAGGCACAGTCAACCCCCTTTCCTCACCCAGAAAACCTACATGGCTTTTTCTGGAACACTCTTCCCCACCCCCACCCACAGCCTTGAGAACTAGTGGTAGTCTCCTCTCTAGTCTCCACCTTTTTGGTTACGCCACAGTAATCATATCCCTTAGTCACTCTTTCTTGGTGATCTCAAGGTTTCAGCTCTCCAGGCTCCAGCTCAGGTCCAAGGTTAATTTGGTGACTTAATCAACCCAGTTTAGAGGAAAAGAGATTAAGAACTTCCTCCTCAGGTTTCATTGCTGTGTATATATGTTAAATTATTATCTTTCACTTATGGGAGCGTTGATAACTTTTCTGTCATTTAATGGAGCTGTATACAACATATCTGACATTTTTGAAAAGCAGTTCCTGCCTGGAGTGATGGCTCAGCAGTTAAGAGCACTGACTGCTTTTGCAGAGGACCTAGGTTCATTTTCTGTACGTAGGTAGTAGCTCACAACTGTCTGTAACTATAGTTCTAGGAGATCCAGTGCTGTTTTATGGCCTCCCTGGGCACCAGGTACACACATGCAGGCAAAACACTCATATACATAAAATATAAATAAAAGCCGAATGGTGGTAGAGACAGTCGGGTCTCTGAGTTTCAGGCCAGCCAGGGATACACAGAGAAACCCAAAACCAAAAACTAACCCCACCAACAAACAAAAGTGGTCCCTGAATATGAATCTGTAAGAATAGAAGCAGGATAGAATTGCTGTTTACAAACAGCAATTATAAAGAGCAGCTAGAAACCAGGTTTCAGAAACTCAGAGGGAAGAAAATGGGAAACGGTCTCAACACTGCCAGATTTGTACCTAAGAGTGACATTGGATGATGACCAGAAAAGAAACATTTATTTGGAATTGGAGATTCCAGATACATATGTAAAATCACTTATGAAAATAAAGTTTTGGGGGTGGAGAGATGGCTCAGCAGTTACAAGTCCTAGAGGACTCAGATTCAATTCCCAGCACCCGCATGGCAGCTCATACCTGTCTGTAACTCCAGTCCCAGTGGATCTGACACCCTTATACAGACATACATTCAGACAAAACAGTGCACATGAAATTAAAACTAAATCATAAAAAAGGAAAGAAGGTAAAGATTGAAGAAAATTAATTCTACTTTGAAATACTGTAAATTTTTATAAGTGACATTTGTAATCTGTTAAAATGTTGGAAGCCATGTTTTTTCGTTGTCCTTGCTCCGTTTTTAATGTATCTTTGATTGCTAATTATGAGTGTTCAAGGCCTTAGATCAACTTAACAAATGTAAGTACCACGCTGTTGTCTGACAAAACTGGGGAGACATTACACAAAAATATACTCTCCCCAGGTAGGAACTCAGGACAGATCGAAGTGCACATACCACCAAAGTCCAACTGGGTGAACTATAAGTTTTATCCATGTTACTTGTAAGAATATGGGAGAGGGGTCACAGGAGCAGAAATGACTCAAAGACAGCTGTATCACTAAAGCCACCCCAGCATGGGTGACAGCTCACAAAGCTGGGAACCTGGGGCACACTGCCTGCAGGTAGTTGAGTTGGTTGAAGAGAAGAGTGTCCTTTCTGGGTGCCTCAGTTTGTATAAACTGCTTCTAGGCAGCTTGGTTGGTTTCTACTTCTTCCAGGTAGCTGGTCTGGTTTCAGAGTTCTTTGCAGCTAAACTCCTTTTATCTGAGAGGGGACTCTCAGGTTTCATTGCTTACCCCACCAAGGAAGGGCCTAGTGTATCTGGTCAGTTTTAGGGACTTCCTGAAGCTGTTTTAAGTTATCTTCCTGCTGAAGGAGCTTCACTGCAGGATGGAGTATTTCAGTCTCAACAAAGCTTTCTGTTTCTGAGCAGGTAGAAGTTTTAGACCAAGTAGTTTTTTTTTTTTTTTAAAGTAATGTAGTGTTGGGCTAACAAGATGGCTCTCAGTGGGTAAAGGTTCCTGTGGCTTAGCCTCATCAGATGACCTGAATTTAATCCCTGGAACCTACATAGTGGAAAGAGAATTGACTTCAGAAGGTTGTCATCTGTGGCATGCATGTGTGTGCACATATATACTAAATAAATAAATTGCTTGTTTTCGTTTTCCAAGACAGGGTTTCTCTGTGTAGCCCTGACTGTCCTGGAACCCACTTTGTAGACCAGGCTATCCTTGAACCTAGAGCTCTTTAGGCTAATTATTCCTTTTAAGTTTCTGCCTTAGAATGCCAGCATTTGCTAAAATTAGTTTCAGTAAAGAGTAAAGTGGGAATGGGGAGGTATAGATGGATAGCAGAACATTCACCTAGCATGAATGAGATTCTGTATAGCCAGTACCACCCCCCCCACAGTGAAGAGGTTTGTTACACTGCATGTAAGTTTTGAAGTGTATTCATTGTATAATACTTTGAGGGAGGGGTAGAAGAGATTATTTCACCCTCCTCTATGTAAGTAACAAATAGAGAATGTTATAATATCATTTACATGATGTCTCTTCTTAATCACATAGTCTTACGAAGTTCTAATTGTTTTTTTGTATGTGTGAGGATTTATACAACTTTTACTGTTTAGTCTATAATTAGCAAGTTCTGAAAATCTGTAAATACTTTTTCTCCCCTAGGTTGCAATAAAAATAATTGACAAAACTCAATTGAATCCAACAAGTCTGCAAAAGGTATGTCGATGTAGTATTTACTATTTTTAATTTTTATGTTTTAATTGCTATATATTTTACCTCTTACATATCTTAACTGTTAGTGCAACAAAGCTTTCTGTTCCTTCAGTGGATATAGCTTGCTGGGCATGATGGTGGTGTGTGTGCTTGTAACCCAGCACTTGGAAGACAGAGGCAGAAACTCTCTCCCCAAGTTTAAGGCCAGCCTGAGCTTTGTAGTTAGGCATCCCTCTCCTGTCCCCCAAAACTTAAATGGAATATTTCCTAACAATAGTTTGGTTAACTTCATTTGAGTGCAGTCATTTTAAATGTTTGACTAAGATAGAATTAAAAAAAATATTTTCATTTGAGACATATCCTTTTTCTTGAGCCACTTACTTGTAAGGCTTCTAGAGGAAGGAAATTGCTTGAGCTCAAACATCTTTGAGCACTTCCATCTTTTTAAAAATTTCTTGAAATTATAATTTAATTATAATATTTCTCCCTTCAAGCCTTCCCTAAATCCTTCCGTGCTCTCCTTCAAATTTATTTATGACTTTGTATTTCCACCACTTGTTATTGTATGCATATAGTATATGTATATGCATTCCTAACTATAGCCTGTTCCGGTCCATACAATGTCACTTGTATGTATGTTTTTAGAGATGACTGTAAGGCACTGAACAGCTAATATGTATGCTCTGTTCTGGGGAAGACCACGTCCCCTGCTCTCAGCTTTCCTCAGTTGTCTGTAGTTTTATGTAGCGATGAGACTTCATGGGGTTTTCTGTGGTTTGGCACACTTATTGATGTCATCCTTGTTTAGCTCATGTTTGGGCAATCGTGTTGTTACTAGGAGATGTTACTAAGAGCAAATTCTCTGATTGTCTGGCTCTTTTAATCTGCCCCCTCTTCCGCAATGTTTTAGCCTTAAGTAAAGGACTATTGTCCTTTATAGGCAATAATTCATTAAAAAAATACACACACACACACACACACTGTTAGCTTTTGGCTTCATTAAACTTTCTGGTTTTTCAAGACAGGGACAGGGTTACTCTTTTTAGCAGCTTTGACTGTCCTGGAACTTTGTAGACAGAGATCTGCCTCCCAAGTGTTGGGATTAAAGGCTCTGCTTTTGCTTTTTAAAACTTTATTATTGTTGTGCGAGTGCATGGTGTACCTGTGTTGAGTGCCATGGCACATTTACAGAGGTCAGTGGATAACTGCATGGAGTTGGTTCCTGAGTTTTCCTTTTTTTTTTTTTTTTTGTTTTTTGAGACATGGTTTCTCTGTGGCTTTGGAGGCTGTCCTGGAACTTCGTAGACCAAGCAGGCCTTGAACTCACGGAGATCCCACTGCCTCTGCCTCCCCAATGCTGGGATTAAAGGCATGTGTCACCAATGCCGGGCCTTCTCTTTTTATATTTTTATGTGGGTTCGGTAAAATCCAGGTTGTCTGGGTTGTGTAGCAAGTGGTTTTACCCACTGAGCCATCCCATCTGCTTATGTATCTTAACTGAATGTCTGACTTGACCAGGAGCAAGTCTCTAAACTTTTCAGTTTTAGGTCTTTTTCTCCCCTCCCCCCTTTCCTGCCCTCCTCCCCCTCCCCCTTTTTTCTTGGTCTCACTGTGTATCCTTGACTGCCCTGCAATTTGCAATGTAAATCAGACTGGCCTCAAACTCATAGAGATCTGTCTTTCTCTCCCTCCTGAGTGCTGGGACTAAAAGTGCCAGCATGCCCAGTAGGTTTTTCATCTTTAAAATAAAGATAGCTTAATCCAGTGATGGTGGTGTGGCCCTGTAGTGTTAACTGCTGGTAACCCTGACACAGGAGAATCTCTTGAGTCCAGATATTCAAGACTCAATAGGCAACAATCAAGACCACCCCCTCTCAAAAGATTTATTTTATATACAGGGTTCTTCCTGCATGTATCCCTGCACACCAGCAGAGGGCACCAGATCTCATTACAGATGGTTGTGAGCCACCATGTGGTTGCTGGGAATTGAACTCAGGACCTCTGGAGGAGCCAGTGCTCTTAACCTCCGATCAGTCTCTCCGCCCCAAGACCTCTCTTTAACATAGTGATTATTACTTAGTATTATTTCATCATCTCAAAGTGGATGTTGTAATGAAATAGTGTATGTTAAAGAGCTTTGTAAATTTCAAACTTTGCAGTTGTAAGTTACTTTGGTATATGTAATGTACAATTTAATTACTACTGTATTTCTAATGGTGATTTTTATCCTGTTTTTTTGGGGGGGCTCTATATCTGTTATTTGGAGAAGAGTCAGGGAGGAGGAGGGAGGAGTTAGACTTCATCTGATACTATAAATAGTATTTGAACACGATGCAAACAGATCCCGGTCCTTTGTTCTGAAGTACGCTTGCTTGCTTTCTCTCCTTCCTTCCTTCCTTCCTTCCTTCCTTCCTTCCTTCCTTCCTTCCTTCCTTCCTTCCTTCCTTCCTTCCTTCCTTCCTCCTCCTCTCTCCCTCCCTCCCTCCCTCCCTCACTTCTTCCCCCTCCTCCTTTTTTTTTTCTTTTTTCTTCTTCCCATTCTGACAAGGTCTGACTAATTCTGGCTGGCCTTAAACTCATCTAGAACATGTCTTTGTCTACTGAGTGCTGGAATTAAAGGCATCTTGCCATTAAGCCCCTAACCTGTTTTCTTAATTTTTCATATCTAATACTTAATGCTAATAAATAAGCTAGGAAATACTATAATTTAGCATTTGGAAATTAATTATAACATATACTGAGGACCTTTAATTCTGTATTTTATGGTATTGCAAATCATTTACTCTTCATGTGAACCTAGAGATAGTTAGAATTGTACCAATTTTCCAGGCATTTTAACAGAGGTTTGTCTCAAGTTGGCTGTAATCTCCCCCTTGCTTCCTGAGTGCTTGCTTTATCTAGTATCATTGCTATTATTTAGTATAAGGCACTGTTACTACAACATCAAGTTCCTACAGTGTATGTCTTCTTAGTACACTGTTTAGACCAATAGTGTGATTAAGCATTTTTGTACTGGCATCAATTTTTGTTTATAATAGTTTGTGGTATAGTGTTTTTTGTTTTGTTTTTTTAACTCTTTGCTCTTTGGGGACCTTCCACACAGCTCTGGAATTACTCTTATTCTTTCTTATGAATGCTCAGCCTTAGCTTGGCTTGTTTCTAGCCAACTTTTCTTTCTTTTTTTTAAAGATTTTTTTGAAAAAGTTATTTATTTATATTTTATGTATGAGTACTCTGCATGTGTATGTATCCCTGCAGGCCAGCAGAGGGCACCAGATCTCATTACAGATGGTTGTGAGCCACCATGTGATTGCTGGGATTTAACTCAGAACCTCTGGAAGAACAGCCAGTGTTCTTTACCCCTGAGCTATCTCTCCAACCCTTAGCCAACTTTTTAAAACTTAAATTATTCTGTTTTGCTGGGAGTGGTGGCACATGACTTTAAAGGTGGATCTTTGTGAGCTTGAGACCAGTCAGGTCTACAAATCGAGTTCCAGGACAGCCAGGGCTGCTATTACCCAGAGAAACCCTGTCTTGAAAAGACCCCCCCCCCCAAAAAAAAAGATTTTATCCTATCTACCTTTTTCCTCTGGAATTTTAGTTTCTCTATTCTATATACCTTTCTTTTCTTACTCTGTGGCTTGCTGTATAGCTAGCTGGGTGGCTGGCCCCTGATGTCTTCTAACTTTTTCTTCCTCCTCTATTCCTCTTTCTTTACTTGTGTTTATTATCTGTTGGCCAGCCCCACCTATCCTTTCTCCTGCCTCAATATTGGCCATTCAACTCCTTATTAGACCATCAGGTGTTTCAGGCATGCAGAATAACACAGCTTTACAGAGTTAAACAAATGCAGCATGAAAGTATGTAACACATCTTTAACTGATACTGGTCAATAGTGTAGTTCAGAGGTGAACCATCTACTGAATACTTGTCCTGAAGTTAGATGTATCCAAGCCAAGCAAATATAAATATATATATATATATATATATATATTTGATTTATAGGGCAATATTTAAAACCAGATGTATTAAGTGAGTAGCACTCTCCCTCTTTTTTCCTGAGAATTTTTCTGTGTAGCACTGGCTGCTCTGAAACTCACTTTGTAAACCAGACTGGCTTCGAACTTACAGAGATCTGCCTACCTCTGCCTCTAGTGCTAGATTAAAGGTCACCACTGCCCATCAAGTAACCTTTTTTTTTTTTTACATAATGATATAAATTATAAGCAGTCTTTATATATTTGTTTCTTACTCTTTAACAGTGAGTTGCTTTTGGAAAAATGGCAACAGGCTATACAATAACTTTTCTCACTTTGGAGGATTGTTCTAACAGCTTTTTCAACAAACAGCTATTATTCACACAGTGTGTCACACATGGGTAACAATTCTCTATATATGTTTTGTTTTGTTTTTGCGTGTTTTTAAAAAATATTTATTATGTAAACAGTATTTTGCCTGCATGTATGCTTATAACCAGAAGAGGGTACCAGATCTCATTACAGATGGTTGTGAGCCACCATGTGGTTGCTGGGAATTGAACTCAGGACCAATGGAAGAACAGCCAGTGCTCTTAACCACTGAGCCATCTCTCCAGCCCTTGTTTTTGTTTTTAAACAGGGTCTTATTGTGTAGTTCAAGCTGGCTTTGAGCTTGTGACAATCCCCTTGCCTTGGTCTCCCAGAGTCCTGGAATTACATGTCCCAGCCACTAAGCCCCCACAAACAGTAATATGTAGCTAGTGACATAAAGGTTTGAACCTGCCCTGGAAGGTAACTATCAATTTAGTCACATTCTTTCATCACTTATGTAGTCCATTAATGTTTCCATTACCAGAAGAGGTTCACCAGCTCACCCAAGCAATTTTGAATATATTTTAAAGTGGTGTTGATTTTATTATGTTCAGGCTGGCACATTGAGTCAGATGATTACTAGTCAGAGTGTTCCTTCAGTCTTGGAGGAGACAGTAGACTGTCAACACAGGAGTGATGCTCAGGAGCATGCAT